AAATCCAAAAAAAAGAAAAAGGTTTATGAGATGCCCTTTTTAGACGTTCTTATCTTGTACCAAAAGAAGAAGATGTAGCTTTTAATCAACAAAGAACAATTTTTTTGAAGCCAAAGTATTTTCACCTTTGAGCAATAAAATCAACATTGATTATTGATTCAATTTTTGTCAAGTAAATTCAATCAAGTATATCTTTTAATTCTCTTGTTCATGATATTAAGAATAATTCTTTTAAGTCTCATGATACTTCTAAATTCTAATTAAAAAATAATCTATTCTACTTCAAGGGATAATTATACATTCCAAAAAGATAAAGCAAAATTACATGTTCTTTAAGCTTGTCATGATTTTCCACCTGTCAAAGATTTTGGATATAATAATATTTTGGAGCTAATATCTAGAGATTTTTAATGGATTCAAATATAAAGGTGGTTAAAGACTTTGTATAATCATATGATATTTGTTCAATATCCAAAATTTCTTATCATTGATCTTATCAACTTTTTCAACCATTACCTATTTCGGAACAACCATAGTCTTTTGTTTCTATGGATTTTACTACAAATATTTTAATTTCATGTTTATATGTTTCTATATTTATAATAATAGATTATTTTATAAAGATGGCATATTTTGTAGCTAATACAAAATCTATCATAGATGAAGAAATGGCTAAGCTTTTTTTTGACAACATCTATCACTATCATAGATTATCCAAGGATATTATATTAGATAGGAGGACTCAATTTATATTAAGATTTTAAAGGTGGATATAAAGCTCTCTTTGGCTTTTCATCTTTAAATTAATGGAAAAATAAAATGGATGAATTAATTTTTGGAGCAATATTTGAAGTGTACCATGAATTATAATGAAGATAATTGGACAATTCTTTTTCCATTGATAAAGTTTGCATATAATAATTCAGTACATTCTTTCATTAAATAAACATCTTTTTTTGCCAATTATGGTTATCATCTACAACTTGATATTTTTGACTTTTTAAAAGTTTATAATCTTTTGGCACAAGATTTGATAAATCTTTTATTAAAACTATATGCAACAATAAAGACGCAATTAAAAAAAGCTTAAAAATAACAAAAGATTAATGCAGATGCCTACTACAAGCAACAATTACAATTCAATGTGGGTGATAAGATATGGCTACTTTGTCATTATATCAAGACTACTTGTCCTTGTGACAAGTTGAACTATTATAGGCTTGAACCTTTTTTTTATTTGTAAACAAGTCAATTCTGTTATTTATTGATTACATCTATTGGAGTCTATAAAGTTCTATCTCATATTCCAGGTTGTCATATGGTGTGATATGCAATCTGGAAATACATTGGATACTTAATTGTAGAGAGTTTAGCTTTGAATTATATATAATGTCATATTTCCCAAAAATCCCTTTATCTTGCACAAAAGGTCAAATTACAATAAAACCTTTCAAAATATTTTCTTTTTGCAAAGGATGTTTTTATCTTGAACTTTAGAAATTCATATTTCTTGATTCAAACATTCATTTTTTTTTTTAAATTTCTATTTAATATAGATTCTATTCTTAAGCTTTATCACAAAAAAAATGAACCATAAATCTATTATCAATCTTCTAGCATCTTTGAAATCCTAGCAAGTACTTTAAACCCTAATCTACAAGTACCCAAAAATTATTTTCCTTATATCTCAAAATTCAAAATTCAAATGCCACAAAACTTATATATAAAATTTATTAACATAATTATACACACTTTCAAAAAAAATTAGTCAAAATCTTATCAAATTACTCAAGATATAGCTAAAAATACAACCACTAATAAATTCGATTACTTACTACCCTTAGATTTGAAGTCCTAACTTTAATTTCTAATATCTCCTTTATTCCAATTTTGAATCCATCAAAAAATATGCCAAAAGTGTAGTCACAAAATGTTTTTCTCTAATTCTAGTTGCCAATCCTCTGTTGCTTTTTGTACACCTGTGTTATACCCAAAAGAATAGTAGTAGGTATAAAATCAATATCTTAACTTTGAACGCCTATATCTCCTTCATAAAAACTCCAATTGATTAAAAATTTATACCAAATCCATAGCCAAAAACTTAAACTTGTTGACCTTAGCCTCCAAAAGCTCGAATGGCTCGAAAGTATAACCCTAATTCCTAATAAGGCCTCAGACAGCCCTCTTGAAGCCCATTGATCATGATTTTTAACCAATAGGAATGGAGATTTTCATCATCCATCTCCATTCATCCATATAGATGCCGTAAATTCTCTTTTTGCTACCAAAATTCCTCTTCAGCTCTTTTTTTTAGAAGATTTAAATAATATATGTCTTAAATACCATATAAAATAAACAAAATAAGACTTTAAAGATCACCAATATCTAACAAAGGTGATTCTAAATATTTAAAAGTTACTTCTAATAAAATCAACTTCAAAGTCACTATCAAAAGAAAATAAAGTTATATAAATTCTAATAGAAGCCCTTTTATTCAACTTCTTTTTGAACTAGTAATCTATCTACATCCTATAATCAAAAAAATCCACTAATATGGCTTTCACCATGTTGTTTAGTATATTATATATTAAATATATAAATACATTATTTTCACATGGTAGCTGAACCACAACACGATAATATGTCTATTCTTAAGCTATATAAGTTAGTAAATATCTTGAAAAAAAGACAAATGCTACCTCCTCTTATTGAAGTGGATATTAATGAAGAATTCAAGGTAGAAGAAGTCTTAGATTCAAGGCGGTGCAAAAATAAGTTAGAATATCTTATTCATTGATGCAGATATGATATTAATGAACAAACATGGGAGTCAACAAAGAATCTTTTAAATGAAACAAAGAAGTTTGATACTTCTTATGAATGATATCCATCAAAGTTAAGATGAAGAATTATAAAATCTATTAAAGATGATGACCGCTTCTTGCGGAACTCATCCTTAGAAGGAAGAACAATGTCATGGATATATATATTTATTCTAATATTTACCTATATGATTAAGTAGAAATATATATAAATTTATTTATTTCATAATATATTTTAGAGTAGCTTCTTAGAAGCTTCATTGATGCTATTTTGACTTTACATGTATTTATAATTGATTGATAGGTTAGAAACTTGGTCAACAAGTTAACCATGTGTTGGAAGTTTGCGGAACAAGCTAATTATGTGGTACATATGTAAAAAACTTGCCTTGTAAGTTAAGATATGTATCTTGTAAAGTCAATATGTTTTGGAGGTCCTATAGGACATTGCCACATAGCTCTTAATTAAGAGTTTATATGGAGGCGATAGTGAAGCCTTCTTCACTTATTAATGTCTTTCTAGTCCTTAATCTTCTCTCAAGTCTTTCTAAGTCTTCTTGACTTTGGCAATAGCCATTTCAATTTAATATTGTATTATCTTTGAATGATTTTTTAATCTTTTCAAGTAACACAAGAATATGTTGATATTTTAATTCTTTAAAATTCATATCCTTGATATAGAAAGAAGTAGCATCATATGTCTATTTTACAATGTTGTTTATGACCTCATTCTTTATACATAATTTATAAGATCTAAATCCTTATTTTTTAAATTTTTTTTCATCTTTTATTTTTTCTAATCTATTCAAATTTATTTATATAATATCTATTTTTTTTTCTTCTTGTATTTCGTAAAAACTATAAATTTATAATTTTAAAAGATGATATTATCTTTAATATATATTTTTAATATATATATATATAGTATATTTCTTATAATGGACTATTATATAAATAAATGAGATTAATTTAGTAATACAAAAACATCATAATAATTTAAAATAAATTTTAATAACAAATGAGTTTTATTTTTTATTATACTTTAAAAATTCAAGCTTTATATTTTTATGATTAAAAATGAATAAAAATATATTGTGTTTATTTATTTATGTGATTAAGAATTTTAAAGATTCACATCTCTTCATAATTTGTCATGAATTTTACTAAGTCAATTCTATTACTATTCTTGTTTTCTTTGTTTTAATTACTATTGATCATTTTTAACTATAATATCATGAGCCATTGTCTAAATTTAGAATATTTTATTTTTATTGTGACATTTTTATGACGAAGTTTACATTCTATACAGTTTATAGAAGAATTCTGAACAATGTTTTAAAAAAATTACATATATATTTTAAATATCACTAATAAATTATTTAAGTATACTGTTTATTCTCAATTTCTAGATTTGCATTAACAGAGGAAACTGGATAATTCATTCGTTCATTGTTTTACAGAATTGCTTCTTTAATTTGTTAATTTTGCAATTTGATTTAATAAATAATTTCATGAGTGTGATTGATTTCCATCTGTTCACTTTCTACGGGAAAATAAACTTGCAAATTAGAGTGTTTATGCATGAAAGTTGTTCAGACTGCAACAAATAAGTTGAAATTTTTCAGTCAATCTTTTCACAAACTAACGTAATTTGACTATTTACAACATATAATTTCAATATATATATATAAACAATACAGTTATATGATGGTTATGTGAATTGAATTTACAATTTTTTTTTCCATGTAATGTTTGTTACTTGTCACCAATTTTTTCACAAAGATAATTCCCAAATTCGAGTTGGAGTAGATTTACCAAGTGACAATTTTGTTCTAAGCTAGAATAATAAAAAGCAAAAACAAATTCAGAGAGTTCTGTTGATAGACAGCAAATGAAAGCAAGATTCCCACACCGACATCTCATTTAATTTCCTTACACACCAGCTACATCAAATATAAACTGCGAATTCCAGAGTGTAACTTGAAGTCGGAAGTATTTAATAATCACTCAGTATTGCCTTGCCAGAGGAGTCGAGAAGTCGTTACGTTCCGGAGACTGAAGGCTCACCATCATCCTCACTGTCTTCACTGGACGAGCTTCTGAGCAATTGGGACATCGTTCGAACTATAGCATGTTAATAGTACTACAATACCCAGGCAGCCTAATGAAAGCGAGATATCAAGGCAGAGGGATGAATAGTTAAGCATGGAGAAACATGCACAATTACAGGCTGGAGTTTTGTGCGTGACTCGTAACTGTCAACTTGATACTGCAGAATTCTTTACAGACAATAAATTGAACGAATTTGAAGAATCGAACTTGTAATGTTACATTCGCTGGATCAAAACTTTGCTACTTCGTGAGAGACCCATGATAGATGTCCACACGGTACAAATGAGTTTATCATTGCCACACATGTTCTACTTGATGAATCGTAAGATGATTGACACTTTTACGGCTTTGACGTAGGTTCTATGTTATGAATTGATGCTTGAGGGTGTCGTTCATTTGATTGCAGCTCTTACTTCTCCTTGAACATCTCATAACTTACCATGGACTTAGTGTGGGAACAAGCAAGTTCCAAAACCTGAATAATACAATGCACCAGAAAATAGTGAGGACAATTAGGTTCACAAGGCACACATGTTGTTGAACCCAATGATAGCCACATGACTCAGCACTTGCAAATTAACTGTAATCAAGGATAGTGTAGGGAAGTTCTTACTTGGATCGATAGAAGTCAGTGTAGCTGCGCCATCGAAGGAACAACTTCCTCCGGCACTCCTGTATTTTTGCCAGTAACTATTGAATGCCCAGGAAGCATGACTAGCAACTGTGTTTGGAAGGTGACAACTTTGTCCCGGCTGTAAGGCCGCGCAGAATTCCTCATTTGCGTTACAGGCATAGTTCAAACCGTTTTCCAGAGTGACGGGATCGGCAGCTGCTGAACTTACACACCATGAACCCGATCCAGCACTGGAGGGAGAAGATGGAGGACCTGTCGAAACTGAATTCGGAGCATATTGGTGATCAAGGAGCTGTCCAGTGAGGTCTACAGCGTAAACAGGGGTCAAGTCCGGGTACAGAAGTCCCCAGTTGCGCTCGGAGCCAACTCCAGGCTTCAGATTTTCATTAAAGAGGGAAAAAATATAGGTTGGAATGATGACGCCAGGACGTGCAGGAGTACCGACATGAGTTGTGGATAAGACTTTCAGCACCAACCGTCGATTGTAAAGAGCGGCGTTGTCAACTGTAGCTCCTGTTTGATTGACATCCCCTGCAGTGGGCCATCCGGTCTCACCGACAGCGATACGCAAGTTGGGGAACCCGAGGTGTGTTGAAGCCGCATAAACTGCGTCAATCTGTGCATCCATTAGGTTCGTGTACGTGCGTCCGCCATCGTTAACTTCTGTGGTATTTGAAAACATTGCGTAGCCAAGACTGATGTCAGTACTGATCGTGTAAGTTAGAAACGGATACACATTCACGAACAAGTAGGAATTTGTTGTTGTAAGAAACGAGAGAAATGGTTGTAGAACAGAGATGGCAATGTCTGCGCGGAATGTCCCAGCAGAAGGAGGAAAAGAAGTTGCCAGGACATCAAGAGCTACGGCTGTGGAAATCTTGATATGCCCTGACCACCCACGACTTCTTAGAGCAGCATGGATGTTTTGCGTGGCTGGGACAAGAGACGTCCATGTCGATTGGAACTTATCGCTAGTGAAAATTTCGTTTCCGATCAGGATAGTGACAATGTTTGCCGCAGGGTAATAAGGTGCAATATGCCGCTCCACCCACGACTCTCCTGAGACCAAACTTGCACCAACCTCCACAATTTCTTCATTAGGAAGTGTCACGACGACTTCTAAACCCGTATTCGCAAGGGCTCCGAGAATGTCTGGATTTGGATTGAACAGCTTTACTCTTCCAAATTTCATTGCCTTGATTGCAGTGACTGTATCAGCTACGCTAGGAAGGTTGTCGCCTAAAGTTCCATAGTTGATCCCCATTGTGAGAGATTGTTGTGCATATCCCGTTACTATTACTGCGCAACACAAGGACGAAGTACATGAGGTCAGGGCAATTTAGATTGAAGGAATCAAACGATGTAAGTGAGGGAATCTTAAACATCATCATTAGCTGCCCTCCCAACATTTACCTGATTTCTTTACTCTCCATTATCGTCACTTCATTCTCATTGATTAGATCTTCGACATTAAGGCTTCCTAGTAACTACCGATACCGCCTAGTAGCTCAGCTACTAACTAACATTTGCTGACATCGACGCACTGAGTAAAAAAAATTACGATGAGAACCATTATCCTCAGCGAAAAGATAGAAATATTTGTTGCACAAAGCAAGTCAGAGATAGAAAAGTAGTGTGTATCGTACCGTCAGCAGGTGCTTGTGCCTGGCATTGCAAAACAAGCAACGTCAGGCACAGGTAGATTCCCAATGGTGACAACATGATTGAATGGTTGAAATTTCACTTCGCCCCTCCAAGACCTTTTCCCAAGCGTGCTCTGCGGTATTTCCTTCGAGTTCTTGAGATCAATACATGCTTCTTTCTGCCTATCAAGTAAGGGTTATCTATATTTGAAAGAACGAGGATGTGATTTCCAGCAATTTGTGATATCCATGTGATTGTTCAAGTCAAAAGAGTCAACGAGCTCCTGCGATGAGAGGCAAAGAAATCTTCAATTAATTTACAAGCTCAGATTGATAGAATACACTTGGTATTCAGCGGCAATAACCATAGAACTCCAAGAACTTTGCAGAGGAAAGACATTCACAACTTACAGCTCCAACAGAAACACCATGTCAGTTTGAGGATTAAAAGCTACTCCTGTCAACTGATACGAAAATCAGTGAGTCCCAAATTTGGTATTGCGATTCGGAGTTGAAGCATGGCGATCGACAGCCTTGCTTCCAATTCAACGAAACCTCCAATCACTGCACTAAACTCCAATGAGATGCCACATAAACGACATTTTCGTGCTCAAATGACGGCTAGGACAGTCTGAGAGCCTGTGAAACTTGGCCTTGACACCTACTTCACCGACAAAAGAAATGGTAAGCAGATGACTGGTGAGGCAGCGAAGCAGCTCTTCTAGCGCAGGCTCCACCTCACTTACTCTTAGAACTAAACAAGTCTAACTGATAATGTGAGAACACGTTCGACTACGTTTCACTTGCTCACATTTACGCACATTATCATAATCACACTGCAGAGGATTCGAATCACTAAGCAATCAACACTTTAACAGACATCGTCATCCCACAGCGAAGGCAAATGATGAAGTATAGAACGCGACGGCGATGCGTTCGTTAGTTAACGACAGAGACCATTTTATGATCAAGGCCGTTGCCTCGTCCATGCCAAAAAAACGCTACTGGACAGAAGATTCTATTATGCATTTGGACTGTCGCCGCTATACCAGGTGAAAAAGTCAATCGGAACCTTTACAGTTTCTCCGACACTGTCCTCCTCTTTTCCTCACGGATCCTTCCCCAAATAGAATTGAGCTTCGGAGGTAAGCCGAGCGAGGACATCACTCAGGGAGCGGATATGTACAGCTTATCCAGCGACTTCTCTCTTACTCCTCCCTCCTCCCAGCCTGGACAACTCGGATAAGTTACAAAAGCAATTCTTCCCCGCTTGGTCGCGATCACTCACCACAAGTTTCCCAATCAGTAACAAGAAATCAACACTGCAAAAGGTTGTCCTCGTAATCTGCTCCATGTCTGCACCGTAGAAACGCCAGTGGGCGAAAAAAAATAGTTACAGTAGTTGGAAATGGCAACTTGACAAATTGCAATCCAGCAAATCAATCAAATCTTTCACTCCTGGTAAAAAAAAATCGTCTCGTTCCCTACACCAACAATCAAATCAACTATGCAAAGATCGAGGAGTATCTTTACAATTTCCATGGACAGATACACACCACCTTCCCTTTCACTTCGAATGCATACACTCCCCCCGAAAAAACCGATTCATGCAAAGGCCGACGACGAAAAGTCCTCACGATCATCGAAGAATCATCACAGAGCAACAAGCTTCACCACTGTCATGGTGGAAACTCCATCCCCACGGCTTCCGTAATTGAGAGAGCTTCGTATTGAGACAGTCTTCATCGTCCTCTGATCCATGAAGATACTACCTGTCGATACATGCAATGAGACGGGAAACAAACCAGTTGACTCGATCAAGAAATGGGCGGGAGTGATAGAACTCATTGCTTTGCTACGGTGCCATCTGAGCTAAATCCGGCTGACGTCACGCTCTATTCTTGCTTTCAGGTGGTTTTGTGAAGGAAGATAGAATCTTCTAGAGGTAGGCATCGGGTGAATTTTGAATGACGTACCCTGCAAGCTGGGGAACGACAATCGGCAGCACATGGGAACTCATTCTTTTGGTTACTTCTTCGGGAACGTGTTCCCAGGTTAGCAAGTGGCTTGAGAGAAACGTAGCTTTCTACTTTTCGAAACTATAACACTTTTAGCCGCGATCATCGCTAAAATTTGTCGTATATTGTGTTATTTTTATGAGAGTTTGGTTTCCTTTGCATGCGGAATTAGTGTCCGTTAAATCAACGTAATTGTGGGTTTCACAATGATGATGTCATGATTTCCATAAACGTTGCAAACCTATTAATTAGTGTCATTAATATTTATAAATTCAATCTCCTTCAAGGTGACGTCTGTCAAAGATAAATTACATGCATGTTGCTTTAAATAGTAGAGAATCGATAGCATGCATGCTAAATCATGCTTACATGGGATAACAATATGAATCTCACAATTCATTGTTACTCATACTGACATAGGAAAATAATTCAAAGATGTCAGCTTACTTGATATCATTTGTGTGTTGAAATAAGATGTTAATATGTATATGTATCTATGCAATAAGGCATTGTATGTTGCACAAGTTATGACTCTCATACACTGCTAATTCTTTCACCACAATTTTAAATAGTTACAAATTAGTTTTGGTTGTGATGGGTATGACAAATTAGGTTTTTAATTAAGAGTGATTTATCTTATTGTTTAGTTCCTATTCTGCTTCCATTTCAAAATATTATCACAAATTGGCATTAAATAAGTCATTACAAAGTTGGAAGGTCTTAAATTTGCACCGGTAATTTAAATTTAAATTGACTATTTTGAAGAGTTCTTTGTTATGTTGAATTTCTGAAAATTATTTAAATTTATTTGAAAACTTTCTCTTAATGAAGTTTCAGGATTGTGTATGCACATAACTTATTATTAATTTTTTAAAATCATATAATAATTACTTTTTGAATAACAAGAAATCAAATAAATGTTAAAACTAATGATATATATATATATATATATATATATATATATATATGTAAGTTTATTACTTATTTTTTATAAATATTATTCAAAATTAGTCTTTAGAGCTTAAAGGCGAGAGAAATTTTCCAAAAGTTAAATAATAAATAGATTTTAGATAGAATCCACATTTTTAGTTTTATTAAACTGTGTGATTTTAAAATAAAGAGACAGTGTATGTATAAATATATACAACTCATTTATAAAACATAGATTGCAAAAATGAATGGTTGAAATAGTTGTTTGATTGATTTAAAATAAAAAAATTGAATCACATGATAAAATCCAAATATTTATTTATTTAAAATTTATTGTACAAAATTTTTAATATTATGATTTTAAAGTAAAAACATTTAAAAAAATATATATTATATTTGATAAGAAATTTATTGTGAATACTTTCAAGTTGGTGTTTTATAAATTAAATATCTGTAAAAATGTAATATAATATAATATACTTTAAATTATTAATAATTATTTTTATTAAATTTAGATTATTAAAAAAAATCCAAAATACATAGGTATATATATATTTTTGTATAAATGTTAAGATAAAAAATTTAGAACTTTCTTTGTTATAATGAAAACAGGAAAACAAATTCCAAAATTCTTTAGGATATTCTAAAACAAACATGTATTAATCATAGTTAATTTAGTATAAAGATATAATCAATCAAATAAAATTTTATGTGAGCTTATTAATTGAGATTATTGATCAAATTTATTTGGTATCCAATGAGATATATTTTTTGATTTTTTAAGTTATGTTGTTGCAACATCAAATCCTAATTGGAAAATTATTGTTGTAATGAACTATCATTAAATGTAAATATTAAAAAAATTCAAAATACTGCTTGTAAAATCTTATTCCAATTTAAAAAAAACGAAAAAGTAATATACTTAATATAATAGTATATTTTCATGTAAAATTATATATACACATACATACATCTATATCTATATATGTATATATATATATATTGTTTGAATGACATCTTATATTTTACAAAACATTATTATTATGCATGCATGATATTTCTTCATATATATATATATATATATATATATATACATAAATAAATAAATACATGCCTGTCTATATATTAGATTTTTGTTTTATTTTTTAAATAAATATTATAAGCAAGAAATATTTTTTGCTTGAATTTTTTTTAGCTCTGATAGATTTAATTACTGTTGCTATTCTTGAATTATTTCAAAATTATTCTGTATGTAGCAAGTGACTATATATATATATATATATATATATATATAATTTATCAATAATAATAGTAATAATAATTTATTAAAAATATGTATTTATCTCCAACAAATGCATGATTAAAAATAAAAATCATAGTTACAAACCACTTGCCAAATGGGACTTCAAATTGAATATCTTTTAAAAATAAAATCATGTAAGAATTATAAAATTGTCTCAATAGATATTGATTCGATCTGATTGATATTGTACATGTTAATATTGTATAAAAGTTATTTTATATTCTAAACGTATGAGATATAGAATATAAAATTTATCAAGCAATTATTTTTGTTACAAAAGAAGCCAATTTAAAAGACAATATCTTTATTTGTTCAATAAGATTATATATTTTATAGAAAAAAAAATCCACAATATTTAAATAAAAAAGGTTTAGTATCTTACATAATTGTATTGCCATCTATATCTGTCTATATGTTGTGAAAAGTGTATGGTTATAGTTAAAATAGTGTGACGTTGGTCTTTCATAAAGAAATTACAATTCATTTTTGATTTAGAGTTCAAATAGCTAAATGTTAATGTCACCATAGTTTTTGTTTGTGCAAGCACAATTAACTATCTATTCAATATATATATATATATATATATGTGTGTGTGTGTGTAAATATTTCTATTCCAATAAAAAAGTGTTAATATTTTAAATATATACTTAAACTGTACAAAAATAAAAATTAATAATAATAAAAAATATTAAAAAGTTCATAGAAAGAATTTTTTTGGCACCACCAAAAACTATAATGGCATGACTAGTACCTCAGATAAATACTTATAAGGATTTTGTGTGTGTATATATATATAACAATTATTTGGAAAAAGCGGATCATTTATTTAAAAAATAAATTAAATTGATCTCAGAAATATTGTCTAAAATATCTTAATCAAATTATAATACGATGAATTATTTTTAAAATTTAGAAATATACAAAATAATATTTATAAATAGGATAAAAATGGATTTAAAGAAAACTTTAGGTAAAATTATATTCCCTTGTTTTTAAATGTATGTATTAATAAAATAAAAAATTAATTAATATTTTAAAAAATCTTAAAAAAACTGTATACCATTTTAATTAATTTTTTGATCTAAAAATTATTTATAATATTTTAAAACTAAAATTAATCAAAGAAATTATTTATATAATATTATAATATATATTGATTAGTCTTGAATAAGTGAATAATTAACAAAGTTATTGAATCAATTTGGATTATTTAAATAGCATACTTAATTTGATATAATAGTATATAAGTTGGATTTATTTTTTAAAATGGAATAATAAATAAAAAATTATCTTTGATGTATATATGTACAAACAAATAACTGATTCTTATTTTATTATTATTGTAGAATATTGATAGTTACCACTAATTAATTGATCAAAAGAAGGACAAATTTTTCTTAATTTTATTCTTTTATAGTAAAAATTAAATAACTATAGTAGAAAATAAAAAAATAAACTTGATAATTCGTATAATATAAAGATTATATTCTATTATTGAATTTTAAAAGTAAAAAATAGAGTAAATAAAAAAAGATATAATAAGTATTAGAACCAAATTGATAATACTTAAAATAATATTTTTTATAATATGGCGTATTTATATTTGTTTCAATATTTAAATTAAAAAATAATTTGATTATTTGTCTATAATTTTTTATTAATGAATATACATGTACATACAAATATAAGATTTGACTAGTTTTTAAATGTAATAAATTTAAGTAAATACATAGATTTTAAAGTAATCATTTTTTAAATGTATAAATTTAATATATATATATATATATATATATATATATATATAGAATTCTTGTAAATTGCATGGTTTATAAAATTAATGTACTGCAATTTTAAAATCATATCATAATTCTATTTTATAATTAAGATTTTATAAATATAATTAAATTTGGTATTTAAATTATTTATAATTTTAATTAATTTAAATATGAATAAAAAAATATTTTGGTGTAAATATGTATATACATATAAATATAAAAAGTATAGATAAATTAAATAATTATAAATATAATAGAAAATAAATTATTTAAAAAAATATTCAAAGCATTATTTGGTAATGGATGCCTTATTTTATTTATATGCTTCTTGAACAACTTCATTGTTGCTTTGATGTAAGGAAACCTTAAAAACCCTTTCTTTGACTTCTTGTATTTCTTCAAATTCAAGTAACTTATAAAACCTCTTTTAACAATTTCTTGGAACCTGTTGCTATCTTTTAGAATCATTTAGATTTTTCTAAGATATTTCAAGAAGTTTCTAGAACATATTGGAACCTTCTTTAGATGAATGTCTATGACATCAGATCCTCTTTTAGTTCCAAGTTTTTAGAAGAGTAATAAAGCTAAAATTATTCAAATACTTTGTAAGTTAAAATTATAATTTATTGTCTATGCAACATAAAATAGTTATTTATTTATTTATTTATTTATTTTATTTATAGATAAATTTTTTTATTGGTCTTTATAATCAATAATAATCCTTAATTTAAGACTAGAATTGTATTTTTGTGTCTTTATTATAAAAAACATCCCTCAAAATTTGCATCTAAAAAATCTTCATGAATTGATTTGACTTTAATAACAATTACTATTATTTTGCTACTAAATATTCTTGGATGTCTTTGTGGGA